TATATATATATATATATATATATATTTGTTTTATTATTTTTTTTTTTTTTTTTTTTTTTTTCTCTCTCTCTCTCTCAGACAGATATATATATATATATATATATATATATATTTAATATATATATATATATATATATATATATATATTTATATATATATATATATATATATATATATATATATATATATATATATATATATATATATATAAAAAATTTTAAAAAAAATAAATTATATATATATATATATGTCACATTAAGCTGTATAGAAGTGTCGAGTCAAATATTATTTACTGTCATCATGGCAAAGATAAAATAAAGCAGTTATTAGAGATGATTTATTAAAACTATTATGTTCAGAAATGTGTTGAAAAAAAATCTTCTCTCTGTTAAACAGAAATTGGGGAAAAAATAAACGGGGGTTAATAATTCAGGGCGGCTAATAATTTTGACTTCAACTGTATATATATTATTGCATGATAGTTTTCCTTCTCAGATAAATTTGTTTCAGCATGTTAAGTACATTTATTTAATACTATACTTAATTTAATACTTGGAGATAAAGATAGATCATTGTCCTTGTTCTCATGTCACATTGTTCTACATTGTTTAACAGAAAACAATATTCATATATATAAATAAGCATACACCAAACTGTAGTCTTAACCTTGTCTTATGGTAGAAGTTGTTACAGAAATTGAAGAAAAATTCATTATAAAAAGTTAATATGAATTGACTTTTAAAGCACATACAGTAATAAAAAAGTTGAAGTTACCTGCTACTTCAATTTACAGTTACACAGCAATAAACATACTTATTATAATAATTATACCTATTTTGTGAGAGACTTGCTTTGTTTACCAAATAAAGTGGATCTAATTGTATTTGCATTTTTATTAAAAACAAGTTAAAAATGTAATATGTTTTAATTAATATATGAAGTTTTTAGTTATAATACTCCCAAAATCATTCCGCATAAATCCACAGATTTTTTACAAAACTCTCAGCAGAAAAAGCAGAAAATGTCTGCAGGTTCTGTTTAGCCCTAGTTATAAGTTGCATACACACACTTTAAAAAATACGGTAAGAAAAAACTGCAAATGTGGTTTCCAGAGCAAATGTGGTTTCCAATTTATAATCATTACACCAATGAAAAACAATGTACATTCAAAAAATGACTTTTGCTGCTTGTTCGAACTTAAATAAATCGAGCTGAAACAACACAATTCTTCTGTTTTTTTTTTTGGCAGGGGGGGGACTTAATTGTTTTATGTTCAATCCACGTAAATGAAAGCTTAATCGATTCGTGTTGGGACAACATAAAGGAATTGTGTGGAACTTTTACACAGATAAAAAAAACAAAATCCACAAGCATGTTTGGATGAGAAATTCTAATGATAAACTATTGCTAAAACCATTGCAAAATGAATTTACAGTTCATAACTGTTTATTTTAACGAAATTTGCATTTAATCAGGTTACAGATTTTTACTTCAGTATTTTTACAGTGTAATGAACATGACATTTTTAACTAAGAGGGATGGATATGATAAATTTTTTAAAAATGTGCTCCAATATTCTTTATTATTATTCACAACTCAAAAAATGTTTTTAGTCTGCAGAGTAATACATTAACCAAATAATAAAACTTCAAACGATCTAAATCATATAAATCAATAATATAAAATAATAATTAAAAAAACATGATCGGAAACAGAGTTTTCCTCCTCTAAACTTCTATTTTGCTACATTGTTCTACCTTTGGCCTGCTTTAATGTGCGACACAGTCAGTTGAACATCAATCTTTAGTAATCACGAGGAGGCACTGACCTTAGCGTGGCCGCAGTGAATGCTGGGTAATGAAATGCCATCAGGCTGAGTGAGCTGACGGCTCGTGCATGGGGAGGGGGGAGAAAAAAGTCATTATTCTACTTTTGGTTGTGAAAGCTGTTTTCTCATTTAATGGGTTTTCAGTTAATTCATGGCTGGAACATATTGGCTTTTAAAAGCAACTTTTACAGCAATTTGAGTAGCGGTTATTGCAGAAACGCACAGCAGGATACAATATATCATCAAAAACAGTGTTAAATCAATGGTTCAGTGCAATTTAATATGTAGGAATATGACTAATTAAGCACAAATAATGGCAAGACGCTGCAGACATAAACAACAACTACTATTATTATTATTATTTGGCTGGCAATTTCTCTCTGTAAAATTAATAATAATAATAATAATAATAATGATAATAATAATAATATGTGTTATTAATTGACTGTTTTATTATTATTATTATTATTATTATTATTAAAAATATTATTATTTACAGAGGGAATTTGGGAAATTTTAACAGCCAAATGATGATGGTGATGATAATAATAATAATAATAATAATAATAATAATAATAATAATAATAATAATAATAATTATTATTATTATT